AAAATGAGAGGGTCAAACTTAATCGTATACTCCTCTATTGAGATATCTTTTTACTTCAAGTTATATAGCCTAAAGAAGATATCTTGTCAAAAGTTGTCTAAAAGATACTTTCTCTTCAATTCTCTTTTCATTTTCTCTTAAGTTGTAATTTTTCTCCTGGTTTCTCTTTGCCTTTGTTTTTTCAAAATTTCCCACTAAAAAAATGCATGCTTTCTAAGTTTGCTAACCACTAGCTTCACCTTGCGATATTCAAGGGTATCATGGTATTCAAATATGTGTTCTACCATATGTAACCAATTTAAGAATTCTTCAAATTGCATCTTTCCCTCAAACTCATGAATCTCTATCTTCAGATTGAATATACTAGGTTGAAATTGTTTTCTGTGTAGATAGTCTTTGACTTGCTGTGGGTAAGATAAGATGCTCTCATCATAATTGTTGTTGTTTTCATGGTATGGATTGACTTCTCCTTCACCTTTTTCATTCCTCATTCATTACCTCTTTATCTCTTCTCTCTCTTTTTGTATATGCACTTGATGTTATAGTTAAAAGATATGTTGCCACATCTCTTCTATGAGGGCATCTTTTGGGTCAACATTGGTAGTTGGTATTGGTTTTAACATCTTCTACTGGTGCTTAATGATAATGACCTGCCATAACTCTGATACCAATTTAATGTCGAGAATTAATATTTGAGATGTGGAGATTAATTACAAACAGAAAAACTCATAAAGAAAATAACTCACAAGTATTTGTATAATGGTATAATATGATTATTAGATTAAAAGGGATAAAAATTTACCACAAAGACTAGAAACTAAGAGATACATAAACATCACTCTAAAAATTCTAATCAAGGATACATAACAATAGAGGTTCACCACTCTAAGAAATCCACTTAAAAGATACAAAACTTGAAGAACAATCTAATAGATTGCTTAAAGATAAAGAAAACTCTATTATGCCTTTTACCAAAGAATAATAGAAAATATATAGGCTAGGAACACCCCTCCAAGCATAGGAACTTTTAGATTGAATTGCTAGAATCGTGTCTAAATCAAGGGATTTGCATGTGAACCCATTTACTCCTACAGATTACATAATAATGAATCTAACTAATCCCATCCATATTCATGCTCTTTTTTTTTAGCTAGTGTGAACACAATTTTTTTATTCCAGCTCACCTTATTTCTACACTTATTTAATGAATTTGGACCAAGGATATGCTTATTTTATTTTTCATTAAGTCCTCTTTAGTCTCGACCCAAGTCATAAGATGTATTGACACTCTGATGTCAATTACCAATTTGATGTTGGGAATTGATATTTGAGATATAGAGATTAATTGTAAATAGAAAAACTCACAAAGAAAATAACTCACAAGAATTTGAATAATGGCAAAATATGATTATTGGATTAAAAGGGATAAAAATTCACCATCAAGACTAGAAACTAAGGGATACAAAAATACTATTCTAAGAATTCTAATCAAGGATATAGAACAATAGAAGTTCACCACTCTAAAAAATTTACCTAAGAGATACGAAACTTGAAGAACAATCTAAAAGATTGCTTAAGGATAAAGAAAACTCTATTCTACCTTTTACCAAAGAATAATAGAAAATATATAGGTTAGGAACATCCCTCTAAGCATGGAAACTTTCATATTGAATTGCTAGAATCGTGCCTAAAATCAAGGGATTTGTATGTGAACCCATTTACTTCTACAAATTACATATGATGAATTTAACCATAATCCCATCTATATTCATTCTCTTCTTTTCTAGCTAGTGTGAATACAATCTTCCTATTTTAGCCCACTTTATTTCTACACGTATTTAATGGATTTAGACCAAGGATAGGGCCATCTTATTTTTGGATAAGTCCTTCTTAGTTTTAGCTCAAGTTGTAAGATGTGTTGACACTCCGATGTTACAGTGACATTTTCCAACAAGCATTAAAATTCCAAATGGGGATTCTAACGATGATTCCTAGTTTCCCAAGCATCAATTCAATATGATCTATATTGTAGCTTTAGTCTTTTTTTTTTGTTTATTGTGTTTTAATTGGTTTATTTTATGTTATTTTTATCATATTTTACTTAAAGTAAGAATTTTTAAGATTAGGTAAAATTATTAATTTGATTAATAAAAATAAATTGAAATAAATTAAAGTTAAAATAAAACTTTAACAAAATTTTGAAAAATAAATGGTAATTATCTAAAGATGAAATTCTTAGAAATTACAAATGGATTCTAAGAAATTTTTAGGTGAGATTTTTTTAAATATGACCCAAATGGAGGAAAAAGTTAGATAAAATTTCAATAACAATAATTAGTATTTATTTTTAAAGTAAAGAAAAATATATAAATAAAACTTTATATAATTTTGGGAATGAGTTAACAATTATCCGATAATAAGACTCTTAGAAATTACAAATAGATGATTTTTTAAGAAATTTTTAAATGAAGAATTTATCTAAATTTAGCCTAAATGGTAGAATAATTTAGACAAAATTTCAATAAAAATAATTGCATTCATTTCCAAATCAAATAAAAAAATGTAACTTATAAATTTGTTTGAAAATATGGCAATTATTCAATGATGAAATCCTAAAATAATCACAAATGGTTGACTTTGTAGGAGATTTTTAGGTAAAAGTTTTTTCTAAAACACAACCCAAATGACGAAAGAGTTTAGATAAGATTTAAAAAAAAATCGACATTTTATTTTCATTCTAAAAATTATGAAATAAATTATGAATCAAGCTTTATACTATGAATATTAAAAATCATAAACAAATAGTTTTTTTTTTTTGGTATTTTTAGGTAACAAAAATATTTTTAAATTTAGCCCAAATGGTAGAAAATCTAAATATATTTTCAATACAACAAAAATTAGAAATAAAGCTTACAAAATAAAGAATAAGTCTAAAGATAAATTTCTTAATAATCACAAATGAATGATTTTCTAAGAAATTTCTATATGAAAAAATATTTCTAAATTTGATTCAAAGAGCGGAGAATTTAGATATATTTCTGATAAGATAAGATTTAATAAAACAACTAATTTCAATTTTTTTTTATGACGGAACCTCTTTAACAAAATAAATAAAATTCTTAAATACTCTTCATATGAAAAAATGCTTTTAGGAATCCTATCATATTGATGGAGAAAATTTAAAAGTTATTTTCGACATTTAAACACCAAAATTTAATAGAAGACCATTAGAACCAAGATTTAAGGTTATAAACGAACCGAACATGAATGAATGAATGCATGTTTGTGGTTTGTTCTTTTGTTTTTAGAGGTGTTCGCTATAAATGAATCAGACATGAATGATCGAATGTATGTTTGTGGTTTGTTCATTTATTTTTAGAGGCATTCGGGCTCACTTCATGTTTGGTAAAAAAAAATTGCTCTATTAGTTCAAACTCAATTCATTTAAATAGTAGAATATTCACGTTCAGTTCGTGTTTGGTTCAATTAAGTTAAACGAGCTTGTTCGTAAACATGTTTAGGAATATATATATAAATAAACATGTTCATAAACAATAAATGAACAATAACCAAATAAATTTAAACAAAAAAACCCTAAATGAATATAAACAAACCCAAAACGAATATAAATGAACCTTAAAATAGGATTAGGATAAAAGATAAAAATGTAATTTTGTTAGTATTATTATAAACGAATAACAAACGAATAACAAATGAACGAAGTTTAAACAAACTTTAAATAAGCTTATTCACGAATATAAATGAACCAAACAAAGCTATATTCGTGTTCGATTTGTTTAACAAATGAACATAAAAATGTTGTTCAAAATTATTTATTAAGCTTAATAAATGAATAAAAATCGAACATGTTCACAAATAGTTCGTCAATGCTCTATTCATTTACACCTTTAAAGATCATTAGGATAATTTGAAATTAAGTGATATTATCTTTTGGATGGGCGTATAAAGATGTTATAATCTTCCTTACATATAACTAAACTCCCAAATTTATTTGTGGAACGCAAACTAGAACCTATTCTTTTAGAAATTTTTTGTTAAGCTTAAGACTTCTTTGAAAGAATAGATTCACTTATGTAACCAATCATACCTATATAAAAAAAAGATTGGTGTCGACTTTTTTTATTATGGCTAGTGATAGGTTCATGAATTTATACGTTATGACAATTAAATTACTATAATAATCTTGAAAATAATATATATTATTCTAGAGTTAAATTCAAATTTTCCTTTTTGGTACAATAAGTATAGCCTCGTCAAAATTAATTAATCCTATATATGCAAACATACAGATGTCCAAGGACAAGTCTACTTACCTACATCAAGGTGTGGTCGAACTTAAGTCGGGTTTGAACATAAATATTTATGTTTGAATTAATTCATTAATAATTAATATATTTTATAAACATTTAAAGGATCAATATTGTTTCCTTCTAAGTATTTTCTGTGTAGCAGACTTGACCAAAAATCATAACCAGAAAGTTTGCTTTATGTTACCAATTCCATCTGTTAATTATGAACATATATAGGTGACAAACCACAAGTTTATTTTATTTCACAGCTCACCCTAGAATAACATAAGATTGACTTATAGTACATAATATGGGAAACCATCACCAGAGACCATCTGGTTCTTATTGTTAAATCTTAATTATAAACCTAGAAGGCAAGCACTAAAAACCCACTTAATAATTAAAGGATCAATATTGTTTTCTTCTAAGTATTTTCTGTGTAGCAGAGACTTGACCAAAAATCATAACCAGAAAGTTTGCTTTATGTTACCAATTCCATCTGTTAATTATGAACATATATAGGTGACAAACCACAAGTTTATTTTATTTCACAGCTCACCCTAGAATAACATAAGATTGACTTATAGTACATAATATGGGAAACCATCACCAGAGACCATCTGGTTCTTATTGTTAAATCTTAATTATAAACCTAGAAGACAAGCACTAAAAACCCACTTAATAACTAAACATAGCTATCGAAGCACAAAGAGAGGATCGTCTTTAAATGGGTATTGGATCAACGAACAAGAGACAAATGTCATCTTTCATATATGGATCAGGATGTGTGTATCCATCTCCATGCTTGTAAAACAAATATGATACTCGAGCTAGGTTCAAAGGTAGTAATAGGAGATCTCGGGGGATCACAGTTGGTCTCATGCGTTCTTCATTTATATCCTTCCATGCGTCCTCAAGCTCTTTCTCCAAGTCCTCCAACGCATCCTTCTCTGATAGGTTTTGTTGCCTCATGTAGCATTCAACACTAGAAGGGATATGCTCTCTCAATTGCTCGAACTTTTTTTGAATGAGGGATATGTGCAAATGATCATTAGAAAATTTATAAACCAATAATCTTAATTTTCATTTGAAATCATTTACTTAAGTCACTATATAATATATATATATATATATATATATATCTAAATAACTATACCTCATGTGATGCTATATCATCCATGATACGGCCGATTATATTTATAGCCCTTATAATTCTTGGTTCAGATTGCAGCCACTCAAATGCCTCTAACCCTGCGATTGTTCCCATTCCTATAAATGATATTGTTATTATTGGATCAAAAGTGGATGTCTTCGTCGCAACCCTCATGTACTCTTCGAATGTTGGTACATGACTATCATTAGACCATTTCTTCTCAGCTTGGTAGTTGTTTATTAGTCCAATGAACTAAAAAGAAAAACACGTTAAAACATGTAAAATTAATACTCAACAAGAGGAATGTGAGTTTCATGATTCTTACAGCATCGTGTGCACAAGGGACACTAAAGGATCTTCCTTCCTTTCTGGCCTCCTCATCTATTTCATTGAAAACGTCTAGCACAGCCTTGCAAATAACTTTGGTGTAATCTTGCAACTCATCAAGAGCACCAATCTCCCATCTGAAAATAAAACATTTGCTTGTGTAAATATTGTTAATTTTTAGTGAATTAACACCTATTTGTACATACATACATGCATACAAATATGTATAGACACACATTTTCTCAGCCAAATAAAATTTTATTATAAAAGATAACTTGAACAAAAAAAGAAGCTTAAAATATTAAATATGTTGTTCAATGCCATCTTAACATTTTTTCTTTTCAAAAAAATTCTTTCTATTAATTATACTCGATAAGTCTCTGTTCTATTATTTTTACTCAAATTAACCCTTATGTTTGTTGGAAAAAGAATCAAGTGATATGTAATCTTAAACAAGCATTCTTTGTGCTTGTGGCAAATGATGTGCCTTTTTTAATATAACGAAATTGACCTCGCCTTAGATGGAAAATCATATGATAACCGCAGGTAAGAATGAACCTCTTTAATGCATTGATGAAACATTGAAGTTCTTTTGGCGTCCCATAGGCGTCAAATGTGTCGTCTAGAATTGACATAAGAACCAACGTCTTAGCAAGAAGTATCCGCCAACGTGTATAGTGTGGCTCAAAGTTCAACGCATTCATCCATGTGTACACCTCCACGTATCTCTCTCTTGCATAAGAAAGCTCGGATGAAAAGTTGTATTCGTCCCAAAACCTGCAAAATCAAAATGCACTTGAAAGTCACGGAAAATTCTAACCACAAAATTTTGCTAGGAATCCAGTCCTTAATTAATTTCTTTTATACCTTGCAATATCGCTTATCTCTTGCTTATGAAGTACTTGAACTCGATTAAAGTCTAGTTTTGCAAACTGAAGTAGGGTCTCATTTCTGGATTCTTCCTCCTCATAGAAAGAGATATAGGTCCTTGCCTCTAGTCTTGGAGGGCATTTGTTCAATGGCTGATCAAGGGCTAATGTTATTTGCTTTGCGAGATGAGGGCTTGGCTTCATTGCCAGAGACTTCAAGTTGGCTTTGGTGAATGCAAGGGCTTCCTCTAATATGCTCTCTTCATGAACTCTCATGTAGGCAGCTTCGTACAGGCTTAGCATTCCCCTAACATCATCGATAAGTGTTTCTCTGAACTTACCATCATTGTCCTTGAACTTGTCAAAAACACCTGCTTCACATATATATTATCACTTCTTTGTAATGATTTATGGTGGAATATAAAAGCACCATTTATATAAATTGGAGGCAGTGGCTTTTAAATTAATTAAATACATATCAAATAAAAAATGTAATTAATTAGTATTAAGATTAACTTTTGTTTTTTTATTTTAAAGATAGAGGATTCGAATTCTACTTTTTGAAACAAGAAAATTATGTGTTGTCCATTGAGCCAAATGTTGAAGCGCCGTAATAAGATTAACTTAAATAAGAGTTTACATGGGTTGCTAGCAGTTACTGCACTTGCTTCGATGTCCATAACTAATTTATTTTAGATTATACATTTATCCTTGTTCTTACCGCAAGACATTTTGAAACCATATTGTCTGAAAACTCGAAAAACAATTGAAGTGGAGTTTAAGTCATGGTCATTTCCAGCCACAAGATTTCGTTGCGAATCGAAAATCCTTTCCAAGTGGTTTTCAATGTCATTCTCAAAGTGATATGAAACACCAAGGCGAAGCAGTGTGTCTATGAATTTGACACTCTGAATGGGATCAGCTGTAGAAGCCATTAACATGTCCTTCACTTTCTCTTTCAATGTGTCTATTTCTTTCGTTAAGGAAACAAATACCTGCTGCGACAAGAAAACAGTTCATTACTTTGATTGAGGAGTTGAAACTGTGTTTAAAGTAACTTTTCAAGACAAGCCAGCAGTCCATAAAGCTTGAAACTCTGTTTCAGTAACATGAAAAAAATAATGCAAGTGCAAAGAATATGCAATACGTGAGGAGATGCAAAGATTACCGAGTCATCCATTGAAGAAAAGGACGGTAATTTATCTCTCCAAATATTTTTGGAGAATTCTGCCACAGGACGGAAAACATCGTACTCTTCTTTATAAGACATTTTTTTTTTCAGAATATTGGAGAAGAAGCAGACAAGTCTTATTTTTGCTATGCTTGGCTTCCCAGCTCCGTGGCCGTATTTATAGAGCCAAAAACAAAAACGGGAAAGAAACTGTTGGTGCTGAGTTCCGAGCTGAGGGTCAAAATCTTGAAATCACGTCAGAGAAAGAGAGCAATTAAAGGTAAAGGTTGAGAGTGTTCCCTGAGTTTATACTCCAATGCTAAAGTCAGTTAGAAAAGGTCAGAAGAAGAGTGAAAAGTAAGAAGAGTAGAGAAAAAGTGGATAGATAGTACTTAAATAGTTTTATTTATAGGCGAAATGTGAGGGGTTTATGAGATAAAATAGTGACACAGTCTAGCTGATGTGGCACTATACATGTAAGGTTAATCTGACATATCAAGTAAGCTTAAAAGTTAAAAATATTTTTGATTATTTGTTGATAGTTTCTAATGAAAAAAATGATCAATTTACCTTTTGGACCCAAAAATAACAGAAACATATCTTGATTTTTACCACAAGTGATGTTAATGATATAATTATTAAGTTAAATGTAGGCAAAGTCTGATCGCAAAACTTAGGTGTGTACTTTGAATGTGTCTTGTGTAATAAATGGTTGCTCAAAACATAGACTAAATTTTCTCTATCTAGTTGTAATTGTTAAAAAATTTGAAATTATATTTGCCATGGTTTTATATTTTGCAAATATTGTATAATAACTTCATTATTAATATTTTTTTACTGTATCCAACTAAGCTATCAATCAACCATTGATCTCGCATTTAGTTACACAAATAAATTTGTAATATGTTCATTGTTGAAAATGCTCTCTCTATTGTGGCAATAACTATTCGTAGAATTAATATTAATGTCAACAACAAATAAATTAATGGATACACTTTATCCATTTAGATATCACAACACAAATAATCAAATATTACATTATATATACAATCACTATTCACTTATCAATCATCAAGTATTATAATTATAAACATTTAATTTTGTTTGGACTAATCGAAATGGAATCCAAATTGTGTTCGTAATTTTAATGTATCCAATTTAAACTCTTATATTTTAATCATGTTTATTGCATATTGGATTCAATTATATATTATTTTATTAATTAATATTTAAAAAAAAGTCAACAAAATAAGGAAAAAAAGTAAAAAAAAAAAAGGGTCAAAAAGAGGTACTGTAGAAATGGTAGAATTTGTATGGAACTGAAGTCAAGATCCAACCAGCTACCGCTTTAATTTGCATTGCTTACACCACCAATACCAAATTTTGTCAAGATTTGTAGCAAAACTTTTGGTGGCTTTGAAAAAACATTCTCTAATCTCATATTTTTTGGGATTTAATTTCTTTTGCAAGCTCTATAAATCCAACACATAGATAGAGCAATTTACATAGAGGGATCAACAAAAAATGCTCATTGCAATTTTTTTAAAAACCCATCACACATGAAAACAAGCAAAACAAGAAAAAAACATTTAGTATCCATATCTCCAACGAGAAGCATCACCAAAAAAAATCACCAAAAAAAAAAACCAAAAACAAAATCTTGAATCTAGAGCATTGGAGATTTCCTTTTAAGAAAACTATTTTAGGAATCATGTTTAGGAGATCAAGGGGAACACTTTGGGATGTTTTGAAAATTTTTTGAATTTTTAAAGGTTGTTGAAATCTTTTTTTTTTTTTTTTTCGGTGAGTAGTTGAATTTTTTGACAACCAAAATTTGGAAATATGGTCTAAAATTGGGAAAGTCCTACTCAAGTTGAAGTTTCTAACGATGGCAAGGTGATAGTGGGCCAAAAATTGAGATTGTATAGCGACCAATGAACAGTTTTTGGGTTCTAGAGAGAGAAGTTGTGAGGGAATAAAAGAGAGAAAAGAGAAAAGAGAAAAGTGAAAAATTATTTGATTTAGGCTTTATATAGATGTCCAAAATAACATTGTTTTAGTGTTAATAGACCTACAAGCTGACTAACTAGACCTGCATGCTAATTTGTACTCTGACCTAACCCGTTTGTAAGTTTTTTAAATAAATAATAAAATATATATTTTTATATATACATCGAAATAGCTCAAGATAAATACTCTAAATATGTTTTGACCGAGCTTGTTTCTCTTTAAAAAACTTGACCCATCATAAGGTATATTATTTGAAAATAAAATGATTAAATGCCCACTCAACCCATTTTAAGGTAAAATATTATAAAAATATATAAATATTTAAAAATAAAAAAGATGAAAAGGAAGAAAATAACTTGACATGAGATATTCCTGGTATCATTAAAAAAAAGAATTTAAAATTTTAAAATTTTTTATTAAATATATAAAAATTAAAATTAAAATTAAATTCATGACATAACTTTAATATCAAATGAATTTCATAAAATATAAATTTAAAATCTTAAAAAAAGAAAAAAGAAAAAGGTTTTTAAAATTTTTGGTGTAAAGTGGGTTCCATTTTAAAGTGTAAATTTATAAAAACAAATATTTATTAAATATAAAAAATTTTGACCAAAAAAATATAGAAAAAATTTTTAAAAGAAAAAAAAAGCAAAATAAAAGTGACACTTGGCTTAAATTTTGATCATGTAATGTCATCCGTACATGATCAAAATTTAATGATATTACATGATCATAATTTAAAAATTTATAAAAATATTTATTAAATATAAAAAATTTGACAAAAAATAATGAAAATTAAAAAATAAAAAGCAAAATAGAAAAGAAAACAAGAAAGGGTGACAGTTGGCTTAAATTTTGATCATCTATTATTCATCTGTGCATGATCAAAATTTAAGTATTAGATATTATTTTAAGAAAGATTTTTATATCTAATATATTATTTTTATTAAATCTATGGGGAGACAATATATTAATTGTAATTTTTTCTTTAACTATCACATCTAACGACCATGTAATTTTGTCCGCACGTTTTTTCCTGCGTGATATCTCTCAAAAAGGGCCATCAAAGGAATTTTAATTAACATACATGAGCATTTTACATAGATGCCCATTAGCATTATTTCAAAAGTGCAACTGACTGTAGAAAAAGGACATAACTCAAAATTTTTTCTTAAGTTTTTGCCCGTTATGCTATTGGGTGCCTATACATGAAGTTACTACTTTGTTATCAGTTTTAGTATTTTATCACAGCTTTTATATGATATATTTGAATCTTGCTTGCAATTGGTATATTATATTAAAGTAATCCCCAACTGATTTTGAGTTGTAATTTTAAGTCAAATCAGATTTAGGTTTAATCATAAATTGAGGGTTAATGGTGGAAGTAATATTGGTACTTGGGGTTAATTATAGGTTTAGAGTTTTGGATTGGCTTACATATAGGAATTTAACATACAGATTTTGGGTAACCAGTTTTTTTCTTTTAATTGAAATAATTGAAATTTTTTATGTACTTATTGTTTAAAATTTCGGTCGAACTCTTCAATTTCCGTAAGTGAAATTATGGTGATATTTAGAACTTCTCTCTACACTTACTTGAAGATGCAATTTCTAGCAATCTTTGAATAAATTTTGATATGTCCACTTTTCATCGCTTAAATTTTATTGATTTGAATGTTAATTCTTTTTTTGTTTCATATAAATGTTAGATTATGTGTCTTGGTAATTTTGTCATGGAAAAGTTCAACATGTTTGCCTTCATGCATCAATTCTTTTTTTGTTTTTTGGTTTAATAGCTGAAGTTTGAAGACGTGGGTTGTGAATTGGTGGCATTGTTGAAATTGTTGTTTGGATTTTGATATAATGTTCGTCTTTTAGGTATTACTTTCATCTGTTAGGTTTTTTTTTTTTTTTCTCATTAATAGTTGCTGTGTTACTCCTACTGGGCTAATTTTTTTTCCATTAATTGTTGCTGTGTTACTCCTAACTGGGTTATTAGTACTGAAGCTCGCAAAAATGTTGCTGTATCTAACCTTAATTCTTATTGTTAAAACAAATAAATTGTCCAATAAGCCTAATAAAATAGTTGCTAATCTTAATAACTAGCTAGAGACCAAATTTAGTGGGATAGCAGTTGGGAAATCTTCTGTACAATAAGTCATAAATTCTAGATATTTTAAACCAGAGTACAAGTATATTAAAAGAATTCCCTTTTTCAATATTTCCACCTTCTTTCAAACATTTTCCGCACTCTGCGTATGGATTTTTTTATAAAAAAACACGGGGGGGGGGTGGAAAACAACATACAAGACAAGTCAACTAAAAGTCCAAAATTATTGCTTCAAAGTCTGAAGCCTTTCCACTAAATAATTGTGCATGCATGTTTCGGTACGGAATAGCCCACTTCAATGTGCCATTCTAAAAGCCTTTTTTCTTTGATGCAATTTTAACTGAATGCACACACATGATCCTATTGCTTTTTGCTACTGTGTATGTAATTTCATTAGAAAAAGGAAGAAATCTTAAGCTTCAAATTTTCCATATCACATCTAAAGTTAAAGGAAAAAATAAAAAGAAATAATGTATATATATATATATATATACAGTTCAACATATCACAAAAGAATACTTGATGGAGAAAAAGGAGAAATGAAGAAATATAGGAAATTTCCTGCCTCAAAGCTTCCAAATCGATTGAAAAAAAAATTTTTAAGTAAAAGCTTTTTGTTTTTTCTTCAAAGCCTCTCAAGATGGACTTCCCCTAATAAGTTTGAGTGGAGTTATTTTTTGGCTATTGCTGGTAACATGGACTTCTGCTGATAATAAAACAATGAAAATTGTCAATTAACTCCCATTCTCTCTCTTTTGTTATCGTTTTACATGTTGTTACTTCATGCATACAAGGATTCTAAGTTTAAATTTCCTTTCATTAATTTCTATCTAATATTAAACTAAAAACTCATGGTATAATTAACTATGTAAGGAGGGAACATACTGACATCAGTTTCTTTATTGTCTTTTTTTTTCTTTTCGTAAGTTTTTTTTTTTTAACCCGTTTGTATGTCTTAGGTGCACAGATTCCAAAAGCATTTTTTTGGCCTCGTTTAGAATGAAGCTCATTCAAGTTAAATCTTTGATTTTTAGTTTTATTGAAATTTTCATGCCCAATTGGGGTTATGATAATTGCAATTTTGAATTAATTTGTTGTGTATTTCTAAAGTTGAAAAGGGGACGGATGGGTCACAATCTCTTGTAGTGGGAAAGAAAATTTTGAAGAATTAAGAACTTAGAATGAATACACACAACGCTT